GAAAGTTCATTGACAACGGTAGTGCGGTTTCTCATCGAAGAGGATTCGGTCTACTGCCAACTTATATCATATCAATTGACTACATAACCGTATGCTTTTTGCCTCCGGTCTGGCGCGATTAGTAGACTGGGAGTTTTATACTCGGCTAAGATTACTCCGCTGTTGTCACACAGGCAAGGTTCAGTGATTACCCCGCGACTCGGTCACTCATCTACCGGGACATCAGATGAACACCACGAACACACATCACAAGGGTCACAAGACGGGATTGAGAAAAGAATCGAGTTTAATTCCTTTCCCTAAAGGTTCCAGGTATTCATTGGTCATACAGGTCATGAGCTAATATTACATACAAATCCTTAGAAAACCATGCAGAGCCGTCCCTTCAACTGCTTCGATAGGTAGTGCTCCGCCATCTCATTCGCCTGCTCGACACTGAACGTCTTTTCGATGTGTGTCGTGCACTTGTTCTTCGCATGCAGCTCAATCATCTCCCTGCTGCGCTCGGGTGTGCAGATCAACGCCCCACGAATAGTCTGCTCCTTGAAGTTCAACGCGAATGGGTCGACCTCAAAGGGGCCATCGGCTGGGAGTCCAACATCCACAAGCACGCCTCCCTTTCTCAAGAATTGTTGCGCAAACTTGACGAGTGGTCGAGCTTCCGTGGTGATGACGACGCGGTCAACACCGGGGTTGGTGTCGTAGAATGATGTCTGGAGCTCTTGGATGCAGTTCGACTCTTCCTCCTTGCTGTCGAGGACATATGTGCGGTCGGGCTTCAGGTGCGACGGGACGTCGTTCGCCAAGTCGATACCTTCTTGTCGGTTATCGATCGCGATGACCTTGGCGCCCATGGCCTTTGCGTATTGAATGGCTAAATGTCCCAGTCCACCAATACCAACCACTGCCAGCCACTGATCGGGCTTTGGATCCGCTGCCACAAGAGCACCGTAAACAGTGGCACCTGCACAGAACAATGGTGCGGCTTCGGCCCAGGGAATCTCTTCAGGGACCTTGCAGATTACCCTCGCATCCGCCTTCATGTACTGAGCGAAACCGCCATCGACGGTCAGGCCAAGCATGCCTGTCAAGTTGTCGCACAGCTGCTTGCCCTTGTTGCAAGAGTTACATGACCCGCAGCAGCCATACGTGTTGATGGACCCCACGCGGTCGCCAATCTTCCATCCCTTCTTCTCGGCCTCCGGGCTGAGCTTCACGATTGTTCCGACAGGCTCGTGGGAACCAATAAGACCAGGCTTGGCACCGGAAGAGGCGTAGACGCCTTCTTGGACTTGAAGGTCGGTGTGGCAGTATCCGGCGGCGGCGACCTTGACGAGAACGTCATTGGGGCCAAGCTCGGTGGGAACATCGACGGACTTGACTTCGTAGCCCTTGTTGAAGTCCTTGATGGATGCGGCGCGCATCTGCTGAGGGATTTGGTCTGCCATGGTGATCGACAAATATTGGATACAATTCGGGATAATAAAACAGGTTGTTTGGTTTATGTGAGAACCTTGAGGCTGAGAACCTTTTAGGCCAGCAAGTTTGGAGTGCTACTTATACACGCCGACGTGCCGATCAGCCATCGTAGATGTGCCACTTTTGCTGTATTTCACGGCTACATAACGATGACCTCAATCTTTTAGTTCCAGTTTTCTGAGGACTTCAAACGTCAGAGTCGGTGGTCCATGCGATGAGTAAGTTACGTCAATCCGCCTCAATGGGCCCCGACCGTTAATCGAAATGTCATAAAAGCGGGCCACGCTCACATCTTCTGCCTCTTGGATTTCATTTCATCTCACGTGTTTTCTATCCATTCCGAGCAGTTTCAGAAGGAGCAAGTTGGTGGTAAAAATGCATGAACTCTTGGAATAATCCGATTTTCTTGGTTTTCTTTCGTTCCTTCATACCTTCTAGTGTCAAACTCCCCATTCCCTCACCTGGCGTGCCGAAGACGTATTTACTTTGCCTGACAGAACTATGTACCTCTAAATTTATGAACAGCTTCATCAGAATGTACACACACAATACAATATCATACACGAACAAGTCTCATACTGCAGAAAAGCGTTTGTCACTGTTCCAGCATCGTGATGAACCGCGAAATGGTGGGTGCGAGGTGAAAACGCGCAGGCACACGCTCCACTCAGTGGAGCTGTCCGCGGCCCCACGGATGCATCATGCACTCGATCGTGATGAGCCTCTTCTGACCTCACTATGGACATGGTCGCCTCAGTATCCGTGAAGAAAGCAGAGCCCCGAAACGGCTTATTGAGCATCGAAATTTTGCGAATAACGTTTACGTGATTTGCAACGAATTTGAGGCTGGCTTGCAACTCTCGCCTCGCATTCCCACCACGGACTCAGCATCTCCGACAATGCGACTGAAGAAAGTGTGAGCCGCTCGCGTACCACTGTCGGACCGGAGTGGTTGATGAAGTCGGCAAGTGTGGAGGAATATCCAGGCACTCTCACAACTGACCCTGGGTTATCGCAGGGCAGTAGATCAAGCTGACATGTTGCTTCTGCCAAGAGGACAGCCTGGTCGTAAATTTTGTTCCGGGAGGCAGAAGCGTCCTTGCCCGCAGAGCGGCGGAACGGGGGCGGCATCCGGACCCGGTAGTGGTCTCGGCCGGCGACGAGCTTGCGGGCCCACTTCACCGTGTCCGCGACGGAGCCCAGGACCGAGATGAGCAGGCTTGGTACGTCCGGGAGGTCTACCAAAACCCCAATCTTGATGATTGCATCCATGATTTTCTGAGTTTTGGTGATTGCAACTGCGCAAAATGCGCGCGCTAGATGGCGCGTTCCTGGTGAATAGACTGGCTATTGCAAACAGCAATTAGCTTCTCTTCGATATCAATCAAGTTGCATCTTCGCATACCTCGTTTCTACCATCGAATACTCAGTCGCTCCAGTCGACATAAAATTTTCAACAAATTTCAGGTCAAGAGCCTGATCAAAATCCCATAGAGAGTGCATGGATCATTCGGCCGATGAGACGCCGGCGTTCAAACAGGACAAGGGTTGGTAGCTGGCGAAGATGGCGTCCACCACCATCTTCACCCATCACTATAAGGCAGAATTCCAATGATCACAAATGAAAGGGTTACGTCAAACTTGTTCAACAAGGTCTAGATTTAGCTCGGCCCGAAAGCTGCTCGACATCCGAAGTGGCTGGTGATTGAAGGATTCGGGAAGGAATGTCATCCATCAGCCTGGGTCAGTTCGCATGGCAATCGAGCGTCGCATGCACATGGTATCTTGGACCTCTGGACGCAGAAAAAAGGGCGGTGGTCCCAAGACATGAGCTGAATATTTCTAAGCCTGCATGGGCTGAATATGAGCCTCCGTTGGGGAAATTCTCGTCGTCCGATGGCCACCGGCATGCTGGTGGGGTACAGCCGCACAACTCCAACGGCGGAGTGCGTGACGCAGCAGCATGCACGAGTCGCGCTCACTCTTACAGTCTGGACGCAAGTGAGCTTAATTCTAAGAAATCCTCATCTTGTTTCTTGGTCCTGTTTTAGGCTTCTGGGAGATTGAGTAGTTCAAGAAAAACAAACTTTCTCAAGTGTGATCTATTTTTCTTGGAATCTTGTGTTTGCAGTCCTTAATCTCCAAGTGCTCGAAGCCTCCAATTGCCTGGGGCTTCCACGCTATCCGGATGCTGGAAAGGTGGGTGCCTCAAATTGTAAGCCGGACCCCGTACCAAGAAAAGGCCAGCCGCCAACAAGCGCCACGGTACTTCTCAAAACCGCCAGCCGCCCGATGCCGTCTAGTCCGTTGTCCGAAGAAAGCATCGAAGGGGGAGAGAGAGATTGAGTCGCGGCAGCGGCTGAACGACCCGTGCACAATTGCACTAATTGGGGTCACGAGCAGCATAGATGTTGTGCACAGCTCTTTTGTAATCATGCCTTTCTAGAATAGTCCGTATCATTTGGTGGCTACTACGGGTGGCACTGATTGAGTGCGTTTGAGGTTGTTTGCTTAGACAGCTTACATGAACATCCGACTGCCGGAGTTGTCTGAGCGAACAGCTTGGGCGACTTACGTACAATTCCAGGGCACAGGGCCTAGAATCGGACGGGAGCCAAAGTGATTTGACCAGTGTCTGATCAGTGTCATGCTGGGTAGGGCGGTTGATCCGGCCTTGCGGGAGGTGGGAGATCATCAGAGCCATGCTCTTCGACATTGAGCACGACACCTGCCAGGGCTGGAGGGGCAGAAAGTGGTTGGGGGCTGCAGACGCCTTGGCCGCAGGGCCCTTTTTCGACAGAGAGACATGGAGGCCTGCTAAGAAGAAAAGGCAACACTTGGTGGGTGGTGGGCTCGTTAGACTTGCATGCGGCCTAGCGCCGAGAAGGAAAGCCAATGTCCTTTTCTTTTCCAGCCGTCACTCACAGACTCAGACTTCTCAGCCTGACTCGGAGGGAAGGATTGGCGCGTTCCGGTTTCATTGCCGAAGGTCGGGCGCTATGTCTGCGGGAAAAAGAAACGGCTCCGCTAGCGCGCGCCGTGGCGGCCTCACCACGCGCCGTTGCTCATTTGCCGTGCAGCACAATTGATGGCGTTCAGATCTTATGTTCGTCCGAGCATTGCGGCTAGGGTTCATGGGAAACAGAGGCAACACTGGAAGAAAATAGCACAAGCCGCCTGGCGTCGTTTGAGATGTGTTAGTCCTTATCGCAGCTTGTCCGGCACACGTGTGGTTGTACAGGAAGAAACTGCCAGCTAGGATGATCCGGGGTAAAGTGGCTCAGGGGCGGGGTCCAGATCCAAGAGTCAAAGCGATCGACACCTTCAAATCAAAGATGGCACGAGAGAAACTGGATATATAAGAGATGGACTTCGACTGCCGATATCAAATTTTTACTCAGCACTCATCCAGCATCCAGCAGCAGCCTCATCTTCCAGCTCTTCACTTTCTTTCAACTACATTCGCTACAACAGTCTCTCACTGACACCTTTCGAGTCTATTCTCTAATACCATAATCACCATGAAGTTCTCTGCCCCCATTGCCCTCTTCGCTGCCGGCGTTCTCGCCGCGCCTAGCGCTTCCGAGCTTTGCACCCGCGAGCTCAGCACCGTCAACACCATCATGACGACTGTTCTCAACGGCATCCAGAACCTCGACACCACTTGCCTGTCTTACACCGGCGGCCCGGGCCCGGAGCTCACCAACGCCTCGACCTACATGCTCGAGATCATCCGCACCGCCACCAACAACGCTGCTGCTATGCTTCCTTTGACCATGGAGGAGGCTCAGGCTTTCCAGCCTCTCTCTGACCAGCTCAACGCCGCTGGCGACAAGCTCCTCACCGACATCTCCAGCAAGGTCACCGTCTTCTCTGCTGCCTGCATTTGCGACACCACCCTCAACTGGGTTGCCCAGATTGGTATGTTCCACACTTCAGCTTACAGAAACCTCCAAGCAGCTAACACCATCAACAGCCGGAAACGTCAACACTCTCATGACCACCATCTCCACCAAGTTCCCCGCCGGCGGCAAGGGTGGTGACGAGATTGCCCACTTCACCCAGGTCTTCTCCGACATGCAGAGCCAGCTCTCCGAGTGCTCCGGCAAGCCCTGCGCCGGAGCTGGCGGCAACGACAAGAGCGTCCCTGCCACCACCCGCCCCGTTGCCGGTGCCCCCGCTCCTACCGGTGTCACTCCTGGCGCCGCCGTCCCCGCCCCCGGCCACAGCAACAACAGCACCAAGGCCTCTCCTACCGCCAAGGGCACCAATGGAGATGCTTCCGCCACTGCCAAGGGAACCAAGGATGCTTCGCCTACTGCTAAGGGCGTCGTCACCGCTGGTGCTGCCGCCACCTTCTCCGGTGCCGGCCTGGCCGTCGCTATCGCTGCTCTCCTCATCTAAATCCTCTGCTACGAACCCTGGCGGTACTTGCTGGTGGCTCAGCTGGATTGAACCCAACAGCGCAAAATTTGCAAATCTGGGACGGACATTTGCACATAACGAAAATGTACAAAAAACCTTTTTTGGGTAGGAGAGGTTGCGGGTACACGGGCATTGCACCTCGAATGAAGTCACGAACATAGTTTCTATTTTACACTAATTACATGCGGGAGTGGGGTTTATGCAAATAATGTGTAGTCGCCAATACATGTAGATAGCTGGACAAATGGAACATTTAAATTAAAAAAGAACACTCTCACGGTTTCTCACATGTGACTTGCAGCAAATGATTCAGACGATCCAATTTCAGTTGATGGGACGGCTCGTTGGTCTAGCCTTGCCCTAAACCCCTTGCCGATCTCCGCGTTGTTAGCGGGTTTCGAGCTGACTGCTTGTACGACCATTCCCATATGGGAAAAGCAACGATGATAAGGCCATGGAAAAGGAGAATCAGTACATACTCGAAATTTCCAAGCAAGAAACGCCTTAGATTGAGAAATCATTGGAAACAAACATGAAAACCCATCTTGATCTCATTTCACGCAAGGCGAAGTGTCTCAAATTTAATATACGCGCTTGAGCTGATGGCAAAGACAATGGCTTTTGGACCCAACAATGATGTTCAATCTTATCTCTACGCGACTAATGGGGCACGGTCTGTTTGTCAGACCACTGCAGCCAGAACCTCTATTCTTAAGACAGCACCACGGAAGAAACGCGGGCCCTTCGTTTCGGCCGGTAGCGTCAGCCTCGCTCACAGTCAAAGTAGCTGTGAGTGTAGAAAAAGAAGCACGTTCTGACTGAAGCCCGGGACCACACAGGAGTATCCCAAGTATTCAAGTTCTCTTGGGTGACTTTCTTGCGGTCTCGATAAATGTTATTTCTGGTGATGTGGAAACGATACACAGTGCTGTGGATTATGAAGTGATACGTTTGATAATCAGGGTGCGCATTTCGGAAGTCTCAGCTTTTGTTCCCAGACATGCACCATATGCTGTCAAACATGCATGCCGAGTGTCTCTCATTCACAGGCGTGAAGGCTTAGAAAAAGAACCCGCAAGTCAGCATGGTCTTAGGCATCGTACGGCCCAGACATTTTTACAAAAGATTACCAGCCATACTAATCTTAGCCACAAGGCCATCTCGTCTGGTCAAGCTATATGGTCTGACTCCTACATATGGCGGTGGCAATCTCTGAGACCAGACTTTGGCCAGCGAGAAAAGAAAATTCCCCCTTGCCACACATACTCAGGAATGCTTGTGTTGACCGTGACCCTTGAATAATGGCTGAGCAGATAATGATATAATCCCATCGATACATTGCACCTATTGCTATAATTCTACTCGATTCGGATATCAGCTTGTCCATCCAATATCCATGGAAAGGCTTCCGTAGGAAGCTCTAGCCCACACTGCAAGGCATCGACTTTGTGGACTATGTTACCGTCCTCATTTCGATCCCATATGAGTAGAAATGTGACTCGGCTCTCGGTACCTTCCATGAGTATAAGCCAGTGTCGTCGACCTGGCAGATTATTACTCTCAAAGTCCCATCCCTCAGTCATCATTACAATTTCTTGGCTGTGGTCAGTGTCTGCGATTCGAACATAATAGTCGCCTTTCACATCCGATGCGACTACCTCCTTTGCGCTCACTTCGATGCCCCCATCTCTGATCGTGACCTTCCGCCGTGCTGGTTCGATGGTGCATTCAGCACCCATTAGTGGTACTTCGTTTTTAAGAGCCGGCACCCAGGAGGGACTAGCAATAGTCTTTCGCACGCAAAGGATCTCAAGTCCGAGCAATCCCTTTTCAACCAACTCCTCAAGTACCTGACCAACAGGTTGTTCGTATGTTGTTTCGATGAAATCGCCTCCCTCGATCATTGCCATCATCCCCCAAAGTGCGTCTTTGGCGACAGTACATCTTCTGTTCTGCGCCATGCGCCACACCAGAGCCAAGGGTCTCCTGTTGCGAGCAATCCATGCCTGAGTTGAAAGGCCGCCTCGGATGTGTCTATTGTCGAATAATACCACTCCATTGTCGATTTGACCAATGCCGGGGTCAGAAGAAGCCTTCGTGTCTCTGTACGTGGGAGGATCTTCTGGGCTCCGTGGGTATGATGGTATCCCACATGCTCGCCTCACCGCCTCGTCGATTTCCCAACTATATATGATTCCATCAGGCGTCTCTAAGTGTGTGCACCATGCCAGAGCTGTCTCCTGCATGGTCCAGACTCTTTCGAAATACGGATTCTCCACGAGCGCCTGGATGAACTTTAGAACTTCAGAGAAATTCTGCTGTGAGGCTCTGGCACCTTCCTCTAACCAGTCGTCGAGGCCTTTTCTGAGTCCCGGCGCCGCCATGGGTATGATGTTCATCTCAGCCCCGGCGTAGTACTCGGCCATTTTGGGAATTTCGTTTGCTTTGTCCTGCACTGAAGTCTGATCAATGCACAGGCTGTCCACCCAAATGTACTGGACACCATAATTCATCCACAATTGAACGCCGAATTGTCCCCAATCCTTTCCGGCCGTCTCGCTCCATACATGGGAGATGGTTGTATATGACCGATCCCGTTCCAGGCTCTCTTCGACGAGTCCCGTTTTGCAGTTCAGTAATCGGGTCGGAGTGACCGGATCTCGACTCGATGCAAACTGTCGGGCTTTGGGGTGCAATCCATGGCCTTCAGGGTTTCTAGCAGCAGGCCAATGCATGCGCTGGTCGTTATCCAAGTGCCGACCATAGTCCCAGCCACCGGTGGCCCTATTTTCATGTATCAGGTTGCAAAAATGGTGATGGAGAAGGAAAAGCCATCGCAGACGACGTCTGACATCTGAGATTTCAAGTGATCCCACTGATCCTTCTCACGTGGTTGGGCAGATAACGGGAGGTCTCCGCTACCTTACATCAAGCAGGATGCAACCCTTCTAATTCGCCAAGCCGCCAGCAAATGCCATCGAGTGGGGAGTCATGGCTCTATGTCCATCCACGTGGACATCAGCCAGCAGTCAGAATTCGCAGGCTTTTCACCACACAAACCAAAATGCTGCCTGCGGTAAACTTAAAAGTTCATTCTTCAAAATTTGAACAAAAGTCCCGCCCTGGAGGGCTTGTGGACTAAAGCTTCTGATCCGGATGCTACTTATGCTAGATTAGTTCTCGATCAAGTGGGCTAGTTGGCATTCTTCATGCTATGGACAAGAACGCTCTTATGAAGTGTTTGTTTTGTGCAAGGGGTCACCTACCCGCCGCGGAGAATGTTTGATGAGAATTTGACAGTTAAATAAGATGCGTTGCGTTTAATGTAAGTCTCAGTCACGTGCTGATAGTCCTTCATTACCCCTCTATACAAAGGAGTTTTGCTATCTGGGCGGACACTTCTAGCTATCCGGGCTGATAACCACTTATACCATGCCTAATAGTCTATTTTACTTGAATAATTTTACTATTATTATCGTTTTCATTATCTTTTTTATTCCTCTTATCTCTTTCTCTCTCCGTCTCCCTACACCTATCGTCGTCGTTGTCGCTATCATCGTCTATGCCCACTACCCGCCCAGATAGTAGAACTCATACAAAGGGGGCTTAGTAAGTATCTTCCTGCAGATGGTTAGGGTGTAGGGTGTGGGAGTTAGGTAAAAGACTCAATTCCTCTAAATTAGAAGGACATCTTGAACACCACTTTCTGCAAATCTCAAGCTCGGCTGATACTTCCCGTCCTTTTGGAGGATGCCTAAATATTCCTCAAGTTCCTCAACCTCAAGATCCTTGAAGTAAAACTCAACCTGTCCCGATCGACGAAACGTATTGGATTCTTCAGCCTCTGGTACATGTTGTAGCAGAAGACCAGACGCCAGGCTTCTGTCTTTAACAAGTAGGGGAAGGTGTGTAGAGCCATTCAAACGCCATGCGTACTCGTCTGGGACCTTACCCCCAGCTTCAACCCAAAGGATAATATGATTCTTATCCTCCCCCACATCGATCCACTTCACAATTTTGTTTCCCTCGCCGAACCTGACTGATAGGTCGTGTGGCAATCTTCTCAGCGGCCCTCGGACTGAGAGAGCCCGGACGCTAGACCTTTCGAGCGACGTCTGTTCGAGGTCTGACGATATTGCCTCGACTTCAAACAGGGCTTCAATCTCAACGCAGCTTAGGGCCTGCGCTGACGAACTGGGTTGGAAGTGGAACCCGTCAATGTCGCCGCATACCGACGCCCAGGACCACGACGGCACCAGCTGGGTAGATGGGATGCTTATATCGCTTCTACACGCCCAAACAAGGGACCTAGCGATATCATTCTCCCATATTCCAGCAATGTACTTTTCGTTGAGCATATCCCTCAGAATGCGTGCTATTCCGGCTACGGCAGGAAGACGGTCTTTGTCGCAGCGCTGCATACCAATCAAACAATTTAAGCCTAGGGGTTAGGCTTATCTGTTTAACTAATTTTTCAGCTAAAGCTTATTTAACTTAATAGATTTGATTTGATTTAATAGATTTCGTAATATAACCTATTAATCCTAGTAGTATAGAGGTATAAGCTGTATTTTTGTTTTTAGAGGATCTAAGTTCAACTTACGCTATAGTGTTACGGTCAGCTATCCAACAGTAGGGTCTGCTAACAGAAGCTGGGGATTGACACGTTATAACAGTACACTGGGCCGTGGTCGTGGTCGTAGGTCGTAAGCTGTAGTAGATCAGGTCTTAAGAGGCTAAGGTGATCAGTCTTAAACTTAACAAGTAATTTGCAGTGAAGGTAAGCTGAGAGTATCTGTGAGGATAAATACTAAGTTGATTGCTAAAGAGCTATAGAAGTCTGACTTTAAGCTAGGCTTAGGGTCACACTATATATAAGTCTAATTCTAAATATATTCCTTTATACCTTAGGTTAATTTGGATTATTCTGATCCAGAATGATTGTTTAGCTTTAAGTTATGTTAGATTATATTAATCTA